GGGCTTCTGGGATGCAGAAAATGTTCTATTTCTTGATCCGTATGATGGTTACATGGGTCTTTGCTTCTAAAAATCATTGTTTTGTGCCCTTAATGCATAAAAATTCACAATAAAAAAGCTTAAAATGGCAATAATTATGTAATTTAATTTTATAAATTAAAAATTACGATATATGAGATAAAGTTCAATGAATATAACATCTATTAAGAATTTACCACGTGTTTGGAACCACTGTAAGTGCTTTATCTCACGTAACCTTTATAATATTCAGAAGACATGGTACTATTCCTATCACATTTCAAAGGTAAAGAGACTGAGGCACAGAGCACTTACACAATTGACACAGTCACATAACTAAAGACGCCTCATTTTGGGATCTGAACTCATACATCAGTACGGTTCAGGAGCCCATGCTCTTAAGCAGTACACTATGCTACTTCTCCAATATAGAAAAAGAAAGATGCTCTCTATGCTGGGTGTTAGTTTTTTCCCTTGTCATAATTATTGTTTAGTATGATAGGTAAACTAAGTCTAAAATATTGGTCTTTCATGGACCCAAGATATTAATCTTTAATTTAGCACTCTATCCTTGTTTCATTTTAAGCTCTGCGAAGGAAGGAAGACAAATCACACTAAGATGACATATTTACTATTCTAATTTATAATTGAGCAATATCATAAATTACACTGTTCCTGTTGCCCAGCACAGAAGTGAATGTATACAAGCGATTCATCATTAACCATAAGGGATATTTCTCCCTAAAGGTCAGAAGATTTTTCTCCCTACCCAAAGACTTAACTAAAGGAGGGATAATCTCTGGAAAAAAAAAATCTGTTTCTCTGACTATTGGTAACATCATTTTCCAGTTCAGTCAACCTGGAAATCTCAGTTATTTTTTAGAGGACTGATGTACAGTAGTTAACTCCAGAGACTCTGGAACTTGACCAAATGGGCTCAAGTATCAGCCCTGTTATTTTCTAGTTATTTGACTTGGAACAACTTACTTAGCTAAATTCTGCCTCAGTTTTCTCTCGTGCAAAATGAGGATGACATTAGTGTCTACCTCTCAGGGTTGTTTGAAGGTTAAATTAAATAATAAATTTAAAACAGAGCCTAATACATAGTAAATGCCACATAAGTGTTAAGGATTATTATTACTCCCCGACGCTATTTCCTTCAACATCTCACCTGCATCTGTTCTTTCCTCTCTATTACCACTGCTACGAACTCAGGCCTTGCCCTCATCCCTTCAGTCTTACGCTGCTACATTTTCCTACAAATTGTTCTCCTTGTCTACAAGTCTTCCAACTGGAATCTACTGTAAAGACAACACCAGACTAATATTCAAATAAATTTTTTGTTCACGGGATTGGCCCTCACAAAACATTCTCTTTGTTTTTTTAATTGCCTACCAATTAAATTCAAATTTATTACTCTGATTATTAGTATTACCTACAACCTAGCTCCAGCCTTATTTCCCAGTGTTATCTGTTTTTAAACCAACACAAGAAACTTATTCTGTTGTCAAACTAATCAGTTTACATTCACTGAATGTGAGGTTGCCTCTTCACCTCTAAACTTGGGTATACCATTTCCTTGACTTCTCTGTTAACATTTTCCAGCTGCATCAAGGTCTAGCGCAAATGTAATCATCATGATGAAATCTGGAGCCAATGTAGCTCAAAATTAAATCTCCTTTCTTAAATCTCCTCTAACGCTTTATTTTTTTCACATGTATATAGCCTTTTTATTATTTCTCAAATTATTTGAAATGGTTTTATTAATTTCATTGCTTTAGACTATCCTCATGATGCCATATCCTAATATCATATCCTCTGCCTTATTTATGTCTAATTTATTTCCTCAGATTGAAGACAGAATTTTCTTGAGAGTCATCTTTGTCTTTCCTTCCCACTTTCTCTAGTACTTGACTAGCACACTGGCTCTCATATTATAGGAGCAAGCAATAAATATTTATTGAATTAAATGTAATCACTAGCTTTGTCTTTCAGAGACCAAATCTGGAAATTGAAAGTAGAAGCATCCTATAAGTCCTTCACTCTCTAAACCAAGAGCAATGTGAGAACACAAAAGATTTGACCCATTCACTTTTAGAGCAATAATATTTTAAATACTAGTAAGACTGAAAATATCCCTCAGGTAAAATGTTGCTGATGGTGTGTTTCAAGAAATGATCCGTAAAGGAATTGGGATCAGTGGATGACTGAAACGGAAGAAGATGAAGGTCACAATAGAGTTGAAAAGGGAAAATATCAGTGTGGCCAATGTGTTGTAAAGGATGTCCCTGAATGCTGACACACCTGAGGATGATAAATAGGGAGGAGAATGATTAAGTCAAGCTGAACTCTTCATTCCAAACTTCTCTGCATTGTATGAAGTGGCTGAAGGACTGCAAGAAAAAGGTGTGGTCAGTCACTTCAAATTCTGAGAAGTAAGACATAAAAACATCAGACACGGTCTCTGACCTTAGGGAAGAAGCTTTTTTATTTTTTAAGTTTTCTTTACTCAAACAGCATTTTTTCAACACAATTAGTTTTGGATTGCTGAGGGGTCCTATCAACACTTAATATAAGGCAATTGTCATTTGTTTTAGTTGAAATTCAGTCATCAACTACTTATTTACTAAAGAATTTATACATATGATCTAAGGTTTGGGAGGAGTGTTTTTACGCAAATAAAAGAAAGTTAGATCAGCCACAGAATTTCAGTGCTTAACACCCAAGTTAAGAGAATAAAGAAAAGCTTTAGAATTAGATCAGCCTCAAGCTTCATTCCCAAGAATAATAGACTTAAGCTTTCCATGGTGCACTTTCCTCATATGAAAAATGGGGATAATAACATATCTACCTCATGATATTATTGCCTAGATTAACTGAGATGTTGAATGAAAATGTGTGGGATAGAGTAAATAATAAATATTGTTTTCTTGTCCACATCACTTAATTTCCATGAATTGTTTAATAAAACATTAGATGAGATTGTTTCCTCAAATTATTTCACCATCATTTCAACTATTTTCTTTATGTTGTATCCATAAGTTTGCACTGTCTCCTTCAAAATAAGCATTTCAGACCCCACAAGCACTTGACAACTGCCCCCTCTTTTCTCCAAAAAGCACACAAGGACCCTTTCAGCCTAGGTATGCAGTCAACACACAATAGGATATATATGTATGCCCATTTTACATACCATATGTATACAGGCTGATTACCCAAATAGTTTACTTCAATAAAAGCTCAAAGAAGTAAAGGCATCAACTAAAAGCATCTTGTTCTGTTTATAAAGAACGCTTAAGTTTAGTTTCTTTTTGAATATATCAACCAATTGTATTCACCGAGTACCTCTGCTGTGTACTTTATATGACATGATTATGAAATTATGATGCTTATTAACAAACACACTTGAATTCAAATATCAATATCAATTTACTGTGTACCTGGAACTGTGCTATACTTTACATGTGCTAACACACCACAAATGATGTAGTTCCTCATTTTACATCCATTTCAAAGAGACATTAAGTAATTTTTTCAGTCACACAGCTAATAAATGACAAATCTAGAATTTAAAGTGAGGCGGTCTGAATCCAGAGTCTGAATTCTTAAACCACTGCACTATGCCACCTTTTTTTGAAGTAGTTACATTGGGAGACAATGTACGAATATCAATGCTACCATCATTTCTTCCACATTTTTTGAAAATTCTATTTTAAAATTGTCCTCCTGATCATCCCACTTCATCAAACAAGGAATGTGAGCATGTGGAGGCTAGGACTCTATGATTCTATGGTCACTTCCAACTCTAAAATAATAATATGATAGCATTTAATTGTGTGTGTTTTTTTTTTTAATGAATTAAAGAAGACTGTTAGAGAACTTAGGAACTCTAATTCTAAACACTTTTTATCAAAGAATAACTTAGGTGATTTATAAACTTTCAGAATCTACATTTTCACTTATTTCCTACTAGTTCAAAACAGTCCAAGTAAGGCATTGGAAAGCATCATTCAAAATGAAAGCAATGACATGATAGACAACACAGAAAAAAAATACATGCAACATTTTCTGGATAATGTTTAAACAAAACAATAATCCAAAGAAATAATCAAAATATGTTTGAACTCTTAAGTAGTCAGGCTCTTAAATAAAAGTTATTTAACTTTTCTAAGTTATTGGTAGAGGCAAAATTTTCTGAAAAGTCTTGTGTTCAAAGCCCAGATTCATCACTTTGAATAGATATTAAGCAAAGTATTAAAACTTCTTGGGTCTCAGTTTTCTTATTTATAAAATGGGAATATAAATAATGATCTTAAAACATTTTGGGGAGAATTAAGGGCAACTCATATAAATTTCCTCATACACAGCAAACTTTAATACTCAGCCAAGGGCCGGCCCTGTGGCTTGGCGGTTAAGTGCGCGCGCTCTGATTCTGGCGGCCCGGGTTCGGATCCCGGGAGCGCCCCGAGGCACCACTTCTCCGTCCAACGCGAGGCCGAGTCCCACGTACAGCAACTAGAAGGATGTGAACCTATGACGTACAACTATCTACTGGGGCTTTGGGGGGAAAAAACTGAATAAATAAAATCTTTAAAAAAAAAAAAAATACTCAGCCAAACTTAATACTTAATTTAATACTCCTTTTTAAAATTTCCATACCAACACTGGCTAATAACACTAATGTTTTCTTCATTCTTCTCAACTTGTGATTAAGAGGAAACAAAATCTCACTTAAACATGAGTGAGATATTATGTTATGTACAAAGAACAATAGTAAAATCTGTCACTAGAAATCTTGAAATTATACAACTTAATTCAGACTAGCAAATAGCTCATCGAATTTTTATTTTTTATATACATGTTGCCTCAATATTCACAAATATCAAGAACTGTAAATAGAAATGTGTTCTTTTATGACTGTCTGCCAAGTTCATTCAGCATGACTGCAATTGAGTGGAAAAATAAAAATACACATTACTTACTGTATGTGGCGCTTGGCAATTTCAAAATGATTTGCAAACATTCATCCTCAAAATACTCTCACAAAATGCATCTGTGAAAAGAAAAAAATCCAAAAGAGTAAACAATTTGCCAAGGTCACAGAAAAACTAGTCCAGACCAACACAACTTAGACACTACACACTTTAACATACTGAAATAAGGCTTTGCAAATTACAGATTGTACATCTAGCAAAGTATAATGGGCTGATGAACAGAAATATTCCCAACTATATGCAGATATTCTACACATCAGTCAAGGAGGACACTCTTAAGTAAGAGGTAAGAAGAGTCTGCGCATTGGCTTCAGAAGTATATGCAAGAAACACAGTACTCCCAGAACATGGCAAAACAACATAAAAGCAATTTAAAAATATGAGATATTTGTAAATAAAGTTAGTTGGAGATTTGAAATGGTTATTAAAATATTTCAAGTTTTTAAAATGTACTTTTGTCTGATATATGAAGATCACTGAGTTAGAAGAGAATTTTACTTGATTTATCCAGAGAATTGCACCAATTCACTTTGTAATTGCATTTCATTCTAATTGAAAACCACGCACTGAGAAAAAGGCAGGCACGCCACTTGCACACCTCACAAAAATACACAAACATCCATTTCCCTTTCAGAAAGTCAATTACAAGGAGAAAGTTATTTAATCAGATTTTATTAATTTGTTTTATAGGAGAGGTATTGGGAAAAACACATTAATTTCAAAACTCAAAATATTTCAACTTAAATGGATTTTATGCGACTGGGTATACTGTTTTATAAAAGAACTGCTCAAAAGAAACAAAACAAAACACAACCTAATGATAATTAAAGTGACCATTTAAAGTACAATGTGTTGTTTCAGACAGATCAAACACACTTTGGACAATACAAATAAAAATTCCCCTAAGTGGCAAGCATCTTTAGAGGAACACTAGTTCTCAGTGACCAACAGAATTTCTGCCCAGAGAGATTTGGTTCTTTACAGTACTAAGCAGAAGCACCAGCTTACTAACACAGGAGGTGTGCTTTCGTGTTCACTGAAACCAACTGTAACCAAATCAACAGTTCAACAAGCAGAACAGGCATTCTGAGTTGCGAGTCTAATTTATCCTCCTCTAGTGTGTGGGAGATAACAGGATGGCCCTGGCCTCTACCCAGAACAGGAATGAATGATTTTCCTAACGCTCAACACAAAGCCTCTCAAACAAGAGAAAACTAGATATAATTACAGATTTATAGTTAAATGTCAAAAGTAAATCAAGAAATTCTTAAGAAACTATGTACTTTAATAAATTTCATTTTTCTAAGGTTAAAACTTAGAACTTCATAGAAGATAACAAATTTATGTTTACATATACTTTCAATAGAATTATAAAGTTATAACAAGCAGCAGACCTGTATATTTCTTCATGCTCCAGCATATTCATCCTCATAGGCAACCAGAACTAAAGTTGACACTAATCAAATGACTTGCCCAATTTGACATGGCTAATAAGAGGTGATCCTGGGCTCAGAATCAGCTTTTCTGACCCCAATTTTTCTCACTACAACACTTGCTAGTCCCTACCTCGCACCCAGAGTACAGGTTGCAAACCAGGGTGTAATAACCAAATCTGGCTTACTGACATGTTTTGTTTATCCAACCCATGGTTTAAAAATATTTTAAAAATTCAAAAGCAGATTTCTCATAAGAATCCTCATTTCTAACTCTTTTGAAAGAGTGAAGATTTTGTAAGGCTGGGCTCACAACCTCCAGAGAACAGAGAAATGGGCGCCCCTTTTGGATGGGACATACTTTCTGCACTCACCTATTCCCCACTTTTGCAACCTGTCTTCTCCTCTGCCATTTTCAAGCACTGGAGTGTTTTGCTCCTGATCCTTACCTACCAACTACAATCAGACCTCTTTGCTGTGAAACTGGAGGAACGACTTCCTTAATTAAGCTCAAAAGGCTTATTTCATTAGCTGAAGCAACTGCTTATAAACGCATTTCACTGGCTTCTTACAATCAGGTGTTATCGATTAGGTACCTTGTTTTAATCTATATACATGTTTTTAAATTTCAAGGGCTTATGTTTCCATTTGTTTAAATATATATTTGATAATTTTTAAAGCTAAGGCAGAAATTTACAAACACAATTGATTGGTACAAATCAAGGGAATTCATGATCTCAAATAATGATTTTACATTTACCATGGACACATCTTTCAGAGAGATACTTCCTGGATTGATAGGTGTACCATTTGATAAAATAATTGTAATGACAGAGAAGCAAAAACTCTTCAATTTAATTAAATGAACTGGATGAAGAGAACACTGACCACTAAAGGGAAAGCTATGCAATCCACAAATTCGGGTTACGTCATAGCATATTGCAAATAACTTGAAATATCAATATTTTTTGTAGAATGCTTAAAAAACATGGACTTGGAATTCTAGGTAGTTGTAGTAATAGCAGCCACCTAAATCTGAAACTCCTCACACATCCTTCAAAAAATATACAGCCAACAAAAACAAATAAAAACACACAAATCCGAGACCTTCAGCATAACTGGAAGTTGGAGAATAATAAAAATGTCAAATTACCTGTAAACAGAAAATTAAACACCAATTTCTAACAGAGCTATCTTTCAAGCTCCCATTATATATATTACAGAGATCTAAGGGGTCCAGAAAAACTGTGAGGAAAAGAGGAAAACAAAGGTCCTAAGAGTGCCACAAAACTCACTCTCAGAAAGTCCACCGAAACTGTGAAAATATTGAAAAACTATCTCGGCATATGAGAACATGGACACAGGGAGGAGACTTAAAAGTACATGGAATTCAAGGTGGCAACATTTTTTCTAGGGGGGAGTAAGGCATTTAAAAACGATGTGGAGGGCCAGCCCTAATGGCCTAGTGGTTAAAATTTGCCACGCTCTGCTTCAGCAGCCTGGTTCAGTTCCCAGGCACAGAACCACACCATTTGTCTGTTAGTGGCTATGCTGTGGTGGCGGCTCACATTAAAAAAAAAGGGGGGGGGGCTGGCCCTGTGGCATAGCAGTTAAGTGCGCACGCTTCGCTGCTGGCGGCCCGGGTTCGGATCCTGGGTGCGCACCAATGCACCGCTTGTCAAGCCATGCTGTGGCGGCATCCCATATAAAGTGGAGGAAGATGGGCACAGATGTTAGCCCAGGGCCAGTCTTCCTCAGCAA